GGTTGCTGTGAGCTGTGATACCACATCACTCTCCCCAGGGGGATAGTTTGAGGCTTTGTCTCAAAAAAAAAAAAAATTCTAAATTTTGCACATGAAAATCATAGACTCAAAATTACTCTTGATAACCACCCAATGGTTATGATATTTGCCCAAGGGTACACATTATGCTAAATGACTCAAACTAGGTTATTCAGCAGCACTATTTATAAGGACATAAAATACAAAGCAGGGCTAAATGCTTATTAATAGGTACCTAGTAAAAGAAATGATACTTTATCTACACAATGGAATATTATGCAGCTGTTCAACGGAATGGTATCTACTGATAAGAATTATTCTCCAAAATATACTTCTGGCCAGGCACAGTGGCTCACACCTATAATCCTAGCACTGAAAGCTATAACTTGAATACGGGGAGCAGGGAGGGAGGGGGAAATGGGGAGGGGAGAATGGGTGGAGGGAGAGGGATTGGAGGGATCATTTCTGAGGTTTATCTTACAAGGTTACAAGTGAATCTTTCTAAGAGTAGAATGTGAACGTTTTAAAATAATAACGAAGAAAATGACATGAAGGCTATATTAACCAGTTTGATGGAAGTGTTTCAGATTGTGTGTGAAAACCCCACACTGTACCCCAGAAGTGCATTAATGTACATAGATACCATTCAATAAAAAAATAAAATCCTAGCACCCTGGAGGGCCAAGGCGGATGTATTGCTTGAGCTGGGGAGTTCAAGACCAGCCTAAGCAAGAGCAAGATCCCATCTCTACTAAAAATAGAAAAAAAATAGCCAGGTATTGTGGCAGGCCTATAGTCCCAGCTACTCTGAAGGCTGAGGTAAAAGGATCACTTGAGCCCAGGAGTTTCAGGTTGCTGTGAGCTATGAGGCCACAGCACTCTACATAGGACACAGAGTAAACTCTGTCTCAAAAAACAAAAAGAAAAGAAAAAAAAAGTTACAATGAGTATCACCTAACTGCAACAAGAATGGCTCATATTAAAAAGTCCCAAAACAGGCTCGGCACCTGTGGCTCAGGCAGCTAAGGCACCAGCCACATACACCTGAATTGGTGGGTTTGAATCCAGCCCAGCCCCACCAAACAACAATGACGGCTGCAACCAAAAAATAACCAGGCATGGTGGTGGGCACCTGTGGTCCCAGCTACTTGGGAGGTAGAGGCAGGAGAATCGCTTGAACCCAGGAGTTGGAGGTTGCTGTGAGCTGTCATGCTATAGCACTCACTCGGGGCGACAGCTTGAGGTTCTGTCTCAAAAAAAAAAAAAAGAAAGAAAAAAAGGGCAGCACCTGTGGCTCAAAAGGGTAGGGCACCAGTTCCATATGCCGGAGGTAGTGGGTTTAAACCTAGCCAGCCAAAACTGCAAAAAAATAAACAAAAATTGTAAAAAAAAAAAAAAAGTTCCAAAACAACAGATGCTGGCATCGATGCAGACAAAAAGGAACTTTTATACACTATTAGTGGGAATGCAAAGTAGAGCAACCTCTATGGAAAACTGTATAGAGATACCCCCAGGTAGACCTACCATCTGATCCAGCAATCCCACTGCAGGGTATATACCCAGAGAAAAAAGGTCATTTTACAAAAAGGACACCTGTTCTCAAATGCTTACAGCAGCACAACTCACAATCATAAAGACTTGGAAACAGTCCAAGTGCCCATCAATATATGAAGGGATTTTTAAAATGTGGTATATGCATACCATTAAAAAAATGGTGACCTAATATCTTTTTGGACAACCTGAAGAGAACTGGAAAACATTCTTCCAAGTGAAACATCACAAGAATGGAGAAACTGGCTCGGTGCCCATAGCTCAGTGGTTAGGGTGCCAGCCACATACACCAGGGCTGGCAGGTTCAAAACCAGCCTGGACCTGCTAAACAATGACAACAACAACGAAATAGCCAGGCATTGTGGCAGGTGCCTGTAGTCCAGCTACTTGGACTGAGTCAAGAGAATTGCTTAAGCCCAAGAATTTGAGGTTGCTGTGAGCTGTGACACCATAGCACTCTACTGAAGGCGACATAATGAGACTCTGGCTCAAAAAATAAATAAATAAAAAATAAAAATGAAGAAACAAACGCATGTATTCAATACCAAATTGGAATTAATCAACACTTAAGTGCACATATGGAAGTAAACCTTAATGAAAATCAAGCTGGGGGGACGGGGAGATGAGTAAATTCACCTGCTGGGTACAGTGCACACTATCTGGGTGAAGGGCACACTTACATGTATGACTTTGACTCAGTCTGTACAAAAACAAAGTATGTAAACATACGTGACCCCTAATATTCTGAAATTTAAAAAAAGAAATATTGACCCAGTAATCTTTTTTCCTCAAATTGCTGAATTGAGTTAAATAGTTTAGTTGATCAGAAAAACGAAAAAAATAAGTGAATAGTAGGTATCTGGGTTTCTCCAGGACTACCCTGCTATCACTCTCTTTTCTCTCCAGTTGTCTACATCTCAACCCCAATCTGGTCAAGAATTACATCAGTCCTTCCCCAGCCCAGGACCTACCTGTCTCATGCTGTAGGCAAAGAGGAAGCCCGTGTTGTACTGAACTTCTCGGAGCAAGGACACTGTCTGGAGGTGATCCTCCTCTGTCTCCCCACAAAAGCCAGCAATGAAGTCACTGCTGAGGCTCACACCTGCGACACCCAACAAAGGACACATGACAACAGGTTGCTGCTGCTTACAAGAGAAGCCTTTAGCATTTGTGGATTACGGAAAGAAGGATTACAATTTATAAGGCCTTCCCTATGGGACTCAAGATCCATTGAGCCCAGAAGTATGAAGTTGCAGTAAGCTATGACAACACCACCACACTCTAGCTTGGGCCAAAGAGTGAGACCTGGTCTCAGAAAATAAAATGTCCCATAGGACTATTCACCCATCTACAAGGAAAATAAAACAGCCATTATTAAGTAAGAGGGGATCAGCCTGTTCATCTATAATCTTGCATGCCAAAAGTTAGCTTCTCAGACTGCATTGCTCTTAGCATTAGAAAAGGTTATTTTCCCTTCAAATGCTGGATTTAGGAACATAACTAGTGAAAACCTTGCAGTGCCTCACCCTGAATTTAGGCTGACACAATGGCCACTTAAGACCATAGTAGCAATAACTACCAGTCACTAATATCACTTGCTAAATACTACGTTTTACTGCCTAATTATCCCAACACTCCAATGAGATGACTATTATTAGATCCATTTTATAGATAAGGAAACTGCAGCCCAAATAAATGAACATTCTTATCTGGTAACACACAACCCATGTAACAGTGGAGAGTGACCCAAAGCCAGTACCACTAGCTTGCACATTACGGTGCCTCAGAATAAAAGGACCAGTGCATAATACAAGTTACAATAATCAGAAATTAGATTCTGCAGATGTACAGAATAAACTAAAGTGCTCCCACAAAAACAAAATAAATAAATTAGAAATATGAGAAAACAAAAGACATTCTCAACCAAACTTAAATTAAAATACAACAAAGTAATTTTATTAGGAGGAAGAGGAAAGAGATGAGGGATAAAAGTTATAACAAAAAAGAAATTAGCTCTAAAATTTAGAGTATAGCACACTCTGCCTCTACAAAAAACAGAAACATTTGCCGGGCATGATGGTACACACCAGTAGACCCAGTTACTTAAGAGGCTAAGACAAAATGATACCTTGAGCCCAGGAGTGTGAGGTTGCAGGGAGCTATGATGACACTACCACACTCTAGCCTGGGCAAAAGAGACCTGGTCTCAAAAAATAAAATTAAATAAACAAAATTTTAAATAAAATAGGCTGGATAATCCTAGCACCCTGGAAGGCCAAGGCAGGTGGATGACCTGAGCTCAGGAGTTCTAGACCACCCTGAGCAAGAGTGAGACCTTGCCTTTACTAAAAATAGAAAGACTAACTGGGGGTTTAGCGCCTATAGCTCAAGCGGCTAAGGCGCCAGGCGTATACACCAGAGCTGGCAGGTTCAAATCCAGCCTGGGCCTGCCAAACAACAATGACAACTACAACCAAAAAAATAGCTGGGTGTTGTGGTGGGTACCTATAGTCCCAGCTACTTGGTAGGCTGAGGCAAAAGAATCGCTTAAGCCCAGGAGTTGGAGGTTGCTGTGAGCTGTGATGCAGGGCAACAGCTTGAGGGTCTGTCTCAAAAAAAAAAAAAAGAAAGAAAAAGAAAAACTAGCTGGGCATCATGGACAACACCTTTAATCCCAGCTACTGGGAAGGCTGAGAAAGGAGGACTGCTTGAACCCAAAAGTTTGAGTTTGCTGTGAACTAGGCTGATGCCATAGCACTCTAATCAGGGTAATGGGGAGGAGAAAAGAAAGGAGGGGAGGGGAGAGAGGGGAGATTGCAGTGAGCTGTGATGACACCACTACACTCTACTAGCCTGATTGACAAAGTAAGACCCTGTCTCAAAAAAAAAAAAAAGTTTGCAATAGCGTCACAAGGAAATACCAAAGCTGTTGGTTTATTGGTAGTTTGTTGGTTGCCCACATCTAACCAAGGAGACTGTGGTCACTGGTAAAATAATGTGCTTAGCAGAATACATTCTTTAAACATACTGGGAATAGACTCTCTGATATGATGAATTAACTCCACATAAGCTTCTCTTGAATATCTGTAATAAAGAACAAAAAGAAAAGGCCTACATGAACCAATCTTTTTTAAATAGATGCCATAAAAACATCACACAATGAGGCCAGGCACAGCAGCTTACGCCTATAATCCTAGCATTCTGGAAGGTCAAGGCAGGTGGATTGTTTAAGCTTAGGACTTGAGTCTAGATTAAGCAAGAGTAAGACCCCTTCTCTACTAAAAACAGAAAAATCAGCTGGGCATTGTGGCAGGTGCCGATAGTCCCAGCTATTTGGGAGGCTGAGGCAAGAGAATGGCTTGAGCCCAAAAGTTTGAGGTTGCTGTGAGATATGTCATGGCACTCTACCCAGGGTAACAAAGAGACTCTCTATCCAAAAAAAAAAAAAAAATACTATGAATTCCCACACATAATCGCTCTTATCCACATGGTACAGCACAATAGGTTAAATTAGGCGCAGTGACTCATGCCTGTAATCCCAGCACTTGGGAGGCCGAGGTGGGTAGATGGCCTGAGCTCACTGGTTCAAGACCACCCTAAGCCAGAACAAGACCCCATCTCTAAAAAAAAATAGCCAGGCATTGTGGCAGTCATCTGTAGTCCCAGCTACTTGGTTGTTTTTTGTTTTTTGTTTTTTTTTTGGCCGGGACTGGATTTGAACCCACCACCTCCGATATATGGGGCTGGAGCCCTACTCCTTTGAGCCACAGGTGCTACCCCAAGTCCCAGCTACTTGGGAGGCTGAGGAAAGAGGATCACATGAACCCAAGAGTTTGGAGTTGCTGTGAGCTAAGACAACACGGCACTCTACCGAGGGTGACAAAATGAGACTTTGTCTCAAAAAAAAGAAAAAAAAATAGAATCAGTTAAATTATCCAAAAGAGCCCTTTTGGCCAGGTGCAGTGGCTTATGCCTGTAATCCCAATACTTTGGGGGGCCAAGAGAGGAAGATTCTTTGAGGCTAGGAATTTGAAACCAGCCTCAGCAACAAAGGGAGATCCTGTCACTACAGAAATAAAAATGTAGTTGGGCGTGACGGTGTGCAATGGTAGTCCTGAGAGAGGGAACCAGCAGGCACTCCTCAGTAAGGAATCACTGAGACCCTAGCCAACTTCTCTGATAAAACAAGAAGCAGTGAAGAAACGATATAAAACCAGCTAGAACTGAGATGGTCAAAAAAAAAAATCACCTCAGGTTACCCTCAGTGTTCATTATACCCTGCTTATAATGTATAATCATACTAAAAGAAACTCCCACCAGCACCATGACAACTTGTAAATGCCATGATACTTCCAGGAAGTTTATCCTATATAGTTCAAAAGGGGGAGTAACCTCTGTTCTGGGAACTTCCCACCCCTTTCCAAAAATCCTATGAATAGGCTCAGCGCCTGTGGCTCAAATGGCTAAGGCGCCAGCCACATACACCTAAAGTGGTGGGTTTGAATCCAGCCCGGGTCCGCCAAAACAACAGTAACAGCTGCAACCAAAAAAAAAATAGCTGGGTGTTGTAGCGGGCGCCTGTGGTCCCAGCTACTTGGAAGGCTAAGGCAAGAGACTCACTTGAGCCCAGGAGTTGGAGGTTGCTGTGAGCTATAATGCCACAGCACTCTACCCAGGGGGATAGCTTGAGGATCTGTCTCAAAAAAAAAAAATCCTATGAATAATCCTCCTTCTGCTTAACATAAAATTAAACAGAAAGTATAAAAAAGACCCTAGGACCTCACAAACTGCTATTCTGTTACTCTTGAGAGAGAAAGCCACTGCTCTATCTATAGGGCAACCTATAGAAACAGCAGTGGCAACCCTTTTTCCCCTTTCTTACTTCAATAAACTTGCTTTTACCTTATTTTGTCAGCTCATTCTTGAATTCTTTCCTGCGTGAAGCCAAGAACCTACTTCCCAGAGTGTAAGATAGCAGCTGTGAGCCACCGCACCTAGCCGTAGAGCCTATGAATTTTTAGCTCTGGGACAGAAACACTTTTTTTAACTTTCAATTTTTTTTATTTTTTTATTTTTATTTATTTTTATTTTTTTAGAGATAGAGTCTCACTGTCACCCAGGCTAGGGTACAGTGGTCCAAACGTAGCTCGCTATAAGTTCAAATTCCTGGGAACAAGTGATCTTCCTGCCACAGCCTATACTTGGCTCATTTTGGGGGGGGGGGGGTTGTTGGTGTGGTATTTTGTAGTAAGGCAAGACATGGTAGCTCACACCTGTAATCCTAGCATTCTGAGAGACTGAGGCAGGTAAATTGCCTGAGCTCACAGGTTCAAGACCAGCCTGAGCCAGAGCAAGGCCTTATCTCTAAAAATAGGAAGAAAATTGCTTAGGCCCAAGAATTGGAGGTTGCTGTCAACTATAATGCAACAGCACTCTATCAACGGCGACAAAGTGAGACTTTGTCTCCAAAAAAAAAAAAAAAAAAAAAACGGTAGAGATGAAGTCTCCCTTTGTTGCCCAGGCTAGTCTTGAATTTCCGGTGTCAAGTGATCCTCCTGACTTAGACTTTAAAAGTGCTGGAATTGGCTCGGCGCCTGTGGCTCAAGCAGCTAAGGCTCCAGCCACATACACCTAAGGTGGCGGGTTTGAATCCAGCCCGGACCCGCCAAACAACAATAATGGCTGCAACCAAAAAATAGCCGGGCATCGTGGCAGGCACCTGTGGTCCCAGCTACCTGGGAGGCGGAGGCAGGAGACTCACTTGAGCCCAGGAGTTGGAGGTTGCTGTGAGCAGCAAAGCCACAGCACTCTACCCAGGGGAACAGCTTGAGGCTCTGTCTCAAACAAAAAAAAAAGGTGCTGGGATTACAGGCAAAAGCCAACATGACAGCACAAGCTACTTTTTTTTTTAAATAGTGTTTTTAACTTTAAATAGCCTCTTTTGTTTAACTAATAAATCAAGACAGATTAAACAGTAAAGAGGATCTCTAAAATGCTTTGCCACTGTGGAAAACAAGGCAAAGCGTTAGTTCCATACAGCCTGCCTTGGGATATATTCTGCCTTTACTCTAATCTGCAATATTTATTTGGCAGGCCCGAGCTGGATTTGAACCCACCAGCTCTAGTGTATGTGGCTGGCGCCCTAACTGCTGAGCTACAGGCGTAGAGCCTCTGCAATATTTATTAATCCTAAAGAAAGTAAGACATACAGCTACATTTAAATTCTAAGACCTTGGCTCGGCGCCTATGGCTCAAGTGGCTAAGGAGCCAGCCACATACACCTCAGGTGGCGGGTTCAAATCCAGCCCAGGCCCGCCAAAACAACAATGACGGCTGCAACCAAAAAATAACCAGGCATTGTGGTGGGTGCCTGTGGTCCCAGTTCCTTGGGAGGCTGAGGCAGGAGACTTGCTTGAGCCCAGGAGCTAGAGGTTGCTGTGAGCTGTGATGCCACAGCACTCTACCCAGGGGGATAGCTTGAGGCTCTGCCTCAAAAAAATAAATAAATAAATAAATAAATTCTAAGACCTTTCTAAACATTGAATTCAAAAAAATAAATTAATAAGTTAATTAATTAATAATAAAAATAATAAATTCTAAGACCTAACAAAACCTTAATGTTAAGAGTTAAAAGATTGGCTTGGTGCCTGTGCCTCTGAGGCACTGTCTCAAAAAAGTTAAAAGATCAACATCTCAAACAGAGTGTGCCACACCAAATAAGCTTAATAAAAAAACATGCTGCTCAGTGCCAGTAGCTCAAGCGGCAAAGGCGCCAGCCACATACAGCTGAGCTGACGGGTTCAAATCCAGCCCAAGCCTGCCTAACAAAAATGACAGCTGTAACCAAAAAATAGCCAGGTGTTTTAGCAACACAAATATTGTTTCGTCATCAAGGAAACATGAAAAGGTGTGGGATATCCTTTTCCCAAGAATGTCTGACCCTCTCCGCATGGCCTCCAATACACGACTGCTTCCACTCTGAGCTGGCAGATGGATCTGTTTACAGATGTTGTCTCTCTCATGAATCAGCTGCAGAACCTGATCAAATAGAACAAATTATGAGTCATCAAAGTCTCACCAAAGAATCTTTCAAAAAGGAATACCACTGTTTCTCCTCCGTTAATTTTCAAGTATTTAAGAGGCTGACTAAACCAAATGTTTTTTGGTCAAGCCACCTTCTATCAGTCCCACACATTTTACTTGCTGGCACCTCGGCTTTTAAAGAGTGGAGGGAAGAAAGCAAGCAGAAATTAGATTCAAGCAATGAGGCTATATAGAAGCAGTGCTGACAGAAGGGTCAACCAACAAAAAAGGAAAAAAATGGCATTTCTGTCATCTAGCTTACAAGCTAGTAACTTTAAAAGATACCACAAGGAATTGAAACTAGGAAAAAATATTTGAAAACATATTGACAAAAGATTTGTATCAAAAATACATGAAGATTGGCTCGGCGCCCGTGGCTCAAGCGGCTAAGGCGCCAGCCACATACACCTAAGGTGGCGGGTTCAAATCCCCAGCCCGGGCCCGCCAAACAACAATGATGGCTGCAACCAAAAAATGGCCAGGCGTTGTGGCGGGCGCCTGTAGTCCCAGCTACTTAGGAGGCGGAGGCAGGAGACTCGCTTGAGCCAAGGAGTTGGAGGTTGCTGTGAGCGTGATGTCATGGCACTCTACCCAGGGGGATAGCTTGAGGCTCTGTCTCAAAAAAAAAAAAAACAATTAAAAAAAAATACATGAAGAACTTTTACAACTCATAAGCAAATAATCCAAGGGGGAAAGGTGAGAATGGGGGTCAAGAGACAGACATTTTGCCAAAACAAAAAACCTTCAGAGAAGGTTTCATATGTGGGTAACTCCGTGCGAGGCACCGTGCTAAGTACCTTGGCCTGTTGCAGGCACACCTCAGAGATACTGTGGGTTTGGTTCCAGACCACCACAATAAAGGAATATTGCAATAAAACCAGTCACACAAAACGTTTGGTTTCCCAGTGCAAATAAAAGTTATGTTCACATTATACTTTATTAAGTGTGCAATAGCATTATGTCTAAAAATAACCAAGTATACACCTTAATTTAAAAATACTTTATTGCTAAAAAGTGCTAACAATCACCTGAGCCTTCATTTAGTAAGTCATAATTATTTTGCTGGAGGAAAGTCTGACCTTGATGTCGATGCTAATGACAGATCAAGGTGGTGGTTGCTAAAGATTGGGGTGGCTGTGACAGTTTCTTAGAATCAGACAACTATAAAGTTTGCCACATCAATTGACTCCTCTTTCACAAAAGATTTCACTATAGCATGCAATGCCATTTGACAGCATTTTACCCACAGTAGAACTTCTTTCAAATTGGAGTCAATCCATGGCTTGGTGCCTGTAGCTCAGTGGTTAGGATGCCAGCCACATACACTAGGGCTAGCAGATTCAAACCCACCCTGGGTCTGCTAAACAACAATGACAACTACAACAACAAAAAATAGCCAGGCATTGTGGCGACACCTGTAGTCCCAGCTACTTGGGAGACTAAGGCAAGAGAATGGCTTAAGGCTAAGAGTTTGAGTTTGCTGTGACCTGTGATGCCATAGCACTCTACTGAGGGCAACATAGTGAGACTCTGTCTCCAAAAAAAAAATTGGAGTCAATCCTTTCAAACTCTGCCACTGCATTATCAACTAAGTTTATGTAACATTCTAAATACCTTGTTGGCACTGCAACAATATGCATAGAATCTCCACATCTGGAGATTACATCTCCAGAAACTATTTTCCTTGATCATCCATAAAAAGCAGCTCCTCATCTGTTAAGTTTCATCATGAATTGCAACAATTCAGTCACATCTTCAGGCTCCATTTTTCATTCTACAAATAGTCTGCTATTTCCACCACAGCTGCAGTGACTTCCTCCACTAAAGTCTTGAACCTCTCAAAGTCATCATGAGGGTTGGAATCAACTTGTTCTAAACTCCTGTTAACGTTGATATTTTGATCTCCCACGAATCACAAATGTTCTTAATGGCACCTAGAATGGTGAGTCCTTTCCAGAAGGTTTCCAATTGACTTTGCCCAGACCCATCAAAGGAATGACTATCTAACAGCAGCTACAGCCTTACAAAACATATTTCTTTCTTTCTACAAAACATATTTCTTAAATAGTAAGACTTAAAAGTTGAAATGACTCCTTGATCCACGGGCTGCAAAAAATGATGTTGTATTAGCAGGCATAAAAAATAACATTAATCTCCTTGTACATCTCCATCAGAACTCTTGGGGCCTAGGCACATTGTCCATGAGCAATAATATTTTGTTTTTTTTTTTTTTTTGAGACGGAGCCTCAAGCTATCGCCCTGGGTAGAGTGCCATGGCATCACAGCTCACAGCAACCTCCAACTCCTGGGGCTCAAGCGAGTCTCCTGACTCAGCCTCCCAAGTAGCTGGGACCACAGGCGCCCGCCACAACGCCCGGCCATTTCTTAGCCACAGCCATCATTGTTGTTTGGCGGGCCCGGGCTGGGGATTCGAACCCGCCACCCTGGGTGTACGTGGCTGGCGCCTTAGCCGCTCGAGCCACAGGCGCCGAGCCAGCAATAATATTTTGAAAGGAATTTTTTTGTTCCAGGCAGTAGGCCTCCACTGAGGGTTTAAAATATCCGGTAAACCATACTATAAACAGATGTGCTATCATCCAGGCTTTCTTTTTTTGTTGTTGTTGCTGTTGTTACAGTTTGGCCAGAGCCAGGTTCAAACGCACCACCCTCAGTCTATGGGGCCGGCACCCTACTCACTGAGCCACAAGTGCCACCCATCCAGGCTTTCTTGTGCCATTTATAGAGCATAATTCTTAAGGGTTCTCAAAGGTAAATGAGCTTTGGCTTCAACTTAAAGTCACCAGCTGCATTAGCTGGAGAGTCAGCCTGCCCTTTGAAGCTTTGAAGCCAGGCATTGACTTTTCTCTAGCTATGAAAGTCCCACATGGCACCTTCTTCCAATATAAGGCTGTTTCATTGGCATCAAAAATCTACTGTTTAGTGTAACCAGCTTCATCAATTATTTTAGCTAGATCTTCTGGATAACTTGATGCAGCTTCTGCATCAGCACTTGCTACTTCACCTTCATGTCAGTGAGATGGCTTCTTTCCTTATATCTCACAAACCAAACTCTGCTAGTTTCAAACTTTTCTCCTGTAGTTTCCTCACTGCTCTAAGCCTTCAACTGAACTGAAAACAATTAAGGATTAGACCTTGGCTTAAGAGAATATTGTGGCTGGTTTGAGCTTCTATCCGTACCACTACAGCTTTCTCCATATCAGCAATAAGCCAACAACGCAGCTGTCCATCTTATAATAAAACCTCTCTCTGTACAGCCCTCTTAGTCCCACAGGTAGTTTTGACCTCCCATTCAACACATATCAGTCCTAGCTCCGTCCCTACCTCTTTATGGGCCAAGAGATCCAGAGAGTAACCCAGCAATACACCACAGGATCCCCCAGCAGAACTCAAGGTCTCTGCTGCACCCCTACTGGGTCCAGCCTTTGCATGCTTAAGGATACTGATACCATTTTATCACCACTAACTAGCTGTTGACACCTACCTCATCAGGAAAATCCTTGGGGTGGGGAGAAGTGAAACGAATCCTCATTTCAGGATCTATTCTGGAGACCTGATCCAGAAGGTGAGCAAAACGAAGCCCCCCTTTCTTGGTTTTATAGTTGGTGGTGAAGCCACGGCTGAGGTTGGAAGACACTGCATTATTGAATTGGACCTCCGAATTGTCTCGAAAACTATTAACATTTTGACCAAGAAGTGTCACTTCTTTCAGCCCCTAAAAAAGAGAAAATATATTAAAAGAGACTAGCTGGGTGTAGTGGCTCACACCTGTAATCCTAGCATTATGGAAGGCCAAGGAAGGTGGATTGCTAGTGCTCAGGAGTTCAAGAACAGCCTGAGCAAGACTGAGACCCCCATCTCCACTAAAAACAGAAAAACTAGTCAGATGTGGTGGCAGGTACCTATAGTCCCAGCTCCTTGGAAGGCTGAGGCAAGAAGAATGCTGAGCCTAAGAGTTTAAGGTTGCTGAGAATGAAACTATGTCTCAAAAAAAAAAAAAAAAAAATTATGGGCAGCAAACCAAAGGTACATCCAAGTATTTCTCTCTTGTCAGGTATAGTCCTAAACTTTTACAACTTAGAAAAAGCACAAGATGCAAAATTAGAAATGCTATTCTCATCTAAACTCTTTACCTGCTCTGAAAGCTTCCTCACTTCCTCTAGAATGGATGCAACAGGCCGACTCCTCTCCCGGCCACGTGTGAAAGGAACAATACAGTAGCTACACATGTTGTCACAGCCTCGCATGATTGACCTGGGGAAGAAAGTACCAGAACTTAGTGAGAGCAGCCAGGTATCCTGAATGCAATCCAAGGAGCAGGTCACAGCTCCCACGGCATTACTCTTTGGTTCTAAATCCTCTTGTCACTACAATCACATTAGACCAATTTGAGATCTCAGAAGCACCTAAAGCAAAGATTTCCTATCTCTAAATAAACACTGATATCTGGGCAGTGCTGGTGGCTCAAAGGAGTAGGGTGCCGGCCTCATATGCCAGAGGTAGCCGGTTCAAATCCAGCCCTGACCAGAAACTGCAAAAAAAAAAAAAAAAAAAGTGGTATCTAATCACAGAATATAAGCCAGACTGTAACTGGCAGATACAGCAGTTAGCCTGAGGAAGGAATAGAGTCCATCTGAACTTTTTTACTGGTTTTTTTTTTTCCTTTTGGAGACAAAGTCTCATTGTGTCACCCTGGGTGGAGGGCAGGGGCGTCCCAGCTCACAGCAACCTCAAATTTGGGGGCTTAAGCGATTCTCTTGCCTCAGCCTCCCAAGTAATTGGGACTACAGGCATCTGCCACAACACCTTGGTTGCAGTTGTCATTGTTGTTTAGCATGCCCAGGCCAGGTTCGAACCCACCAGCCTGGATATATGTGGCTGGCACCGTAACCACTGTGCTACGGATGCCAAGACAAGAGGCAGTTTTTATTTTATTTTATTTTATTTATTATTAAATCATAGCTGTGTGATTTAATAGCTGCAATCATGGGGGTACAATATGCTGGTTTTATATACAATTTGAAATATTTTCATCAAACTGGTTAACATAGCCTTCACTGCATTTTCTTAGTTATTGTGTTAAGACATTTATATTCTACATTTAGTGAGGAACCAGTTTTTATAAATAAACACACACTATCATAAAGGAAAAGGATAAAAATGATATACATCAACATAGTAGTTTTATCATTAAGTAGTGGAAGTACTATATAGGCAACTGTTACTTTTTTTCTTTTTTTTAGTTTCTTCTTTATGGTTTTCTATCTATTCTGCATATTTTTCAATAAATATGAATGATTGTATAACCAAATTTTTACTGTTTTTTTTTAAAGATCCAGAGAAGGCTTGGCACCTGTGGCTCAAGTGGCTAAGGCACCAGCCACGTACACCTAAGGTGGCGGGTTTGAATCCAGCCTGGGCCCGCCAAACAACAATGCCAGCTGCAACAACAGCAACAAAAAAAAGTCGGGCATTGTGGCAGGTGTCTGCGGTCCCAGCTACTTGGGAGGCTGAGGCCAGGAGTTGGAGGTTGCTATGAGCTGTGATGCCACAGCACTCTACCCAGGCAGACAGCTTGTGGCTCTGTCTCAAAATAAATAAATAAATAAATAAATAAAATAAAAATAGAAAAGTCCAGGCAGTGCCTTTGGCTCAGTGAGTAGGGCGCCAGCCCCCATATAGCAAGGGTGGTGGGTTCAAACCCAGCCCCAGCCAAACTACAACAAAAATAGCCGGGCATTGTGGCCAGTGCCTGTAGTCCCAGCTACTAGGGAGGCTGAGGCAAGAGAATCACCTAAGGCCAGGAGTTGGAGGTTGCTATGAGCTGTGACGCCATGGCACTCTATCAAAGGTGATAAAATGAGACTCTGTCTCTAAAAAAAGAAAAAAAGAAAGAAAGAAAGAAAGAAAAGTCCAAGACATTTTTAAAACAAAAAAATAGGGCTCAGCGCCTGTGGCTCAACTGGTTAAGGCACCAGACACATACACCTAAGGTGGCGGGTCCAAATCCAGCCCGGCCCACCAAAACAACAATGACGGTTGCAACCAAAAAATAGCCGGGCATTGTGGCGGGCACCTGTGGTCCCAATTACTTGGGAGGCTGAGGCAAGAGACTCGCTTGAGCCCAGGAGTTGGAGGTTGCTGTGAGTTGTGATGCCAAGACACTCTACCCAGGGGAACAGCTTGAGGCTCTGTCTCAGAAAAATAAAATAAAATAAAATAATAAAAAAAACCAAAAAAGTAAGAGTATACAATAGTAATAGTTTACTGTATTGTGGTAGGTGCCTGTAGTCCCAGCTACTTGGGAGGCTGAGGCAAGAAAATCACTTAAGCCCAAGAGTTGGAGGGGCTGGGAGCTTGAGACTCTGTCTCAAAAAAAAAAAGAATAGTTTATTATAACCTGAGTTTAAAAAAAAGAGAGCAAGAGGAGCCAGGCACAGTGGCTCACACCTGTAATCCTAGCACTCTGTGAGGCAGAGGCAGGTAGATTGCTTGAGCTCAGAGTTCGAGACCGCCTGAGCAGAAGCAAGACCCCCCCCATCTCTACTAAAAACAGAAAAATTAAAGCAAGAAGATCACTTAAGCCCAAGTTGGAGATCACTGTGAGCTATGACGCCACAGCACTCTATCCAGGGCAACAGCTTGAGACTCTATCTCAAAAAAAAAAGAAAGAGAAATGATATGAAAGACTCCTATCTTTGATGAATATTTATGAAAGGATTATATAAGAAACTACAAGCCAGGTGAGCTGGCTCACACCTGTAATCCTAGCACTCTAAGGAAGCCAAGGAAGATGGCTCACCTCAGCTTAGGAGCTCAAGACCAGCCTGAGCAAATAAAAAATAAAAATAAACTAGCAAAGCAGGTACCTGAAGTCCAGCTAATCAGGAGGCTGAAGAGGAGGATCACTTGGGCTCAAGAGTTTGAGGTTGCTGTGAGCTATGGTAACTCCATGGCATTCTATCCAGTGAGATTCTGTCTCAATAAAAAAAAGAATAATCTACACCATAGCTGCTTTTGAGAAGCGGCTTAATACAGGGGAAGATAGATGTGAGAGTCTCAACATATCATTTTTTATTTTATTTTGTATTTTGTACCATGTGCATAGATTACTTTTTTTTTTTTGAAGCAGAGCCTCAAGCCCTGGGTAGAGTGTCATGGCATCACAGCTCACAGCAACCTCCAACTCCTGGGCTCAAGCAGTTCTCCTGCCTCTGCCTCCCAAGTAGCTGGGACTACAGACGCCTGCCACAATGCCCGGCTATTTTTTAGTTGTAGCCATCCTTGTTATTTGGCAGGCCTGGGCTGGATTTGAACCCGCCAACTCTGGTGTATGTGGCTGGCGCCTTAGCCACTTGAGCCACAGGTGCCAAGCCGAGCCTACTTTTTAATGTAATAAAATTAACATGCTATTTCTCTAAGTGAGAAAGAAAGGAAAGGCTCACTACCCATCTCTTACATAGTGACTCACACGAAGGCAGAAGTGACACTGGGACTTGTCTGGACTGGCATGACATCGGCATAGGTCTCATCCAGAGAGAGCAGCACATTGGCAGCTTGCTGGCCTGACTCAGCAACAGCCAGCAGCCGAGGAAGGTCCCTATAAGCATCTGGACCAGCCAAAAGATCCACCATTTTCTCCCTGTTGAGGATCTCCTCCTTCAACCTCTCGGCCATACAGCCTGCAGGGGGAAAGAGACAAGTTCCCAAATTCATCTGGTTTCATGCCTTCTTCTCATTACAAATTATGTCTGGCTTGAATGAGAAACCAGCGCACAGAAAACTTCTCTCAGAGTTTAGTATCATCACAGCTGGGCACTATGGTGTTAGGGACCAAAACACTCATAGGACTGGAACTTGCATCTTTCTATACAAGAAAACCATAGGGGCTCGGTGCCTGTGGCTCAAGTGGCTAAGGTGCCATGGCGGGTTCAAATCCAGCCTGGGCCCAACAAAAAACAATTACAGCTGTAACCAAAAAATAGCTGGGCGTTGTGGCAGGTGCCTGTAGTCCCTGCTACTTGGGAGGCAGAGGTAGAAGAATCACTTGAGCCCAGGAGTTGGAGGTTGCTGTGAGCTGTAATGCCACAGGACTGTACCCAGGCAACAGCTTGAGGCTCTGTCTCAAAAAAAGAAAAGAAAAGAAAACCATTGGAAAAGGGTTCTAGAACATTTCAATTAAATGCCCTGAAAAAAATTAAACAACCATCCAAAAAGCTTTTAAGACATGCACCACCTCTTCTTTCAAATGAAAATTACTTAGCAATGAGATAGAAAAGTATTTTGTGTCAGGCACTTACTTATATACAACTCTATTTACTATCTTTCTCCCTCTCTTCTTCCCTATACTACTTGTTAAAATCTATAAGAAATGCTAGGGTGCAGTGGCTCACGCCTGCAATCCTAGCACTTGGGAGGCCAAGGTGGGCGGATTGCCTGAACTTACAGGGTGGAGACCAGCCTGAGCCAGAGCGAGACCCCGACTCTAAAAAACAGCTGGGCACTATGGCAAGCACATGTACTCCCAGCTGCTTGGGAGGCTGAGGCAAGAGGATCACTTGAACCCAAGAGTTTGAAGTTCCTGTAAGCTAAGACGCCATGGCACTCTACTGAGGGCAACAAAATAAGACTGTCTCAAAAACAAAAAAATCTGTAAGAAATGAGTTAAAAGGACCAAGCATGGTGGCTAATGCCTATGATCCTAGCACTTAGGGAGGACGAGGTAGAAGGATCACTTGAAGCCAAGAGTTAGAGATCAGCCTGTACAAAAGCGAGACCCCATCTCTACAAAAAATAGAAAAAATTAGCCTGGCATGATGGTGCATACCTATACTCCAAGATACTCAAGAGGGTGAGGCAAAATTGTTTAAGCCAAGGAATTTGAGGTGGCAGTGAGCTATGATAATGCCACTGTATGCAAACCTAAGTTAACGACTTATATTGGTACCTTCCATATCAAAAAAAAAAAAAAAAACCAGTGTATTTTAAAAAAGTGTATTATTAAGGCCATAAATTTTTATTATGAATTCTTTTTTTATTAAATCATAACTATGAATACTAACGCATTTATGAGGTACAACGTGCTGATTTTATATACAATTTGGAATGTTTAAACTGGTTAACATAGCCTTCACCTCACTTAATTGTTGTGTTAAGACATTTATACTCGGGCGGCACCTGTGGCTCAGTGGGTACGGTGCCGGCTCCATATACCGAGGGTGACGGGTTCAAACCTAGCCCCGGCCAAACTGCAACCAAAAAAAAATAAAACAGCTGGGCGTTGTGGCGGGCGCCTGTAGTCCCAGCTACTTGGGAGGCTGAGGCAACAGAATCACCTAAGCCCAGGAGTTGGGGGTTGCTGTGAGCTGTGTGATGCCATGGCACTCTACTGAGGGCCCTGAAGTGAGACTCTGTCTCTAAAAAAAAAGAAAAAAAAGACATTTATACTCTACTCTTAATAGATGTGACATGTACCCTTGCAATATGCACTATAGGTGAGGTCCCACCGTCTACTCTCTCTCCACCTGGCCTCCCCCCAATTTTTTTTTTTTTTTTTTTGGTAGAGACAGAGTTTCACTTTATCACCCTCGGTAGAGTGCCATGGTACCACACAGCTCGCAGCAACCTCCAACTCCTGGGCTTAGGCGATTCTCTTACCTCAGCCTCCAGAGTAGCTGGGACCATAGGCGACCACCACAACGCCCAGCTATTTATTTGTGGCAGGTAGGCCGGGGCCAGGTTTGAACCTGCCATCCTTGTTTTGTGGGGCCAGCGCCCTACCCACTGAGCCACAGGTGCCATCCCAATTTTCTTTTTCAATAAAGTATCTCACTCGGTTGCTAATTTTAGAGTAGCATGGCGTCATCATACCTCACAGCAACCTCAAACTCTCCCCGACTAATGCAATCCTCCTGCCCTAGCCTCTCCAGGAGCTGGGACTGTAGGCTCATGCCATGACACCCAGATAATTTTTCTATTTTTAGTAGAGACAGGGTCTTACTTGTGCTAAGGAGTTCAAGATCAGCCTAAGCAAAATAAGACCCCATCTCTACTAAAAATAAAAAAATTAGCTGGGCATGGTAGTGAGACTTTGTCTTAAAAAGACAAAAATATTGGGTGGCACCTGTGGCTCAAAGGAGTAGGGTGCCAGTCCCATATGCCAGAATGGTAGGTTCAAACCCAGCCCCAGCCAAAAAAAAAGACAAAAATATTTTTAAAAATGAGTGTGTGTTGTGGCACACACCAGTAGTCCCAGCTACTTGAGAGGCTTAAGCAGGAAGATGCCTTAAGCCCCAGGAGTTCTAGGCTTCAGTGAGCTATGATTGTACCAATATACCCCAGCCTAGGTGACCCTGCCTCAAAAAAAACAAACAAAAAATAGACATATGGAATCCAAGTCTCAAAATTTAACAAAACTGTTGGGCATGGCTCGGCACCTATAGCTCAAGCGGCTAAGGCACCAGCCACATACACCTGAGCTGGCGGGTTTGAATCCAGCCCAGGTCCACCAAACAACAATGATGGCTGCAACCAAAAATAGCTGGGCATTGTGTCGGGGACCTGTAGTCCCAGCTACATAGGAGATGGAGGCAGGAAACTCACTTGAGCCCAAGAGTTGGAGGTTGCTGTGGGCTGTGATACCATAGCACTCTACCCAGGGCGACAGCTGAGGTTCTGTCTCCAAAAAAAAAACTGCCAGGCGCAGTGGTTCATGCCTGTAATCCTAGCACTCTGGGAGGCTGAGGCAGGTAGATTGCTTGAACTCAGGAGTTTGAGAACAGCCTGAGCAAAAGCAAGACCCCGTCTCTACTAAAAATGGAAAAACTGAGGCAAGAGGATAGCTTGAGCCCAAGAATTGGAGGTTGCTGTGAGCTATGATGCCAGAGCACTCTACCCAGGGCAACAGCTTAAGACTCTGTCAAAACAAACAAAAAAAACGTAACAAAACCCCCAACTACCAGATACCTAGAATCCCAATCTTCAGAGGCACCCGAGAGCGCAGCCGCCTTGTCTTCAAGGCTTTAAGCTGAAGTAAACGGTTCCAGATGGTCTGCTCAGCCTTCTCCCTACACAGATCAAAACAGGCAAAATTCAACCAAAACTGAACTGCAGAGCAATCTAAGAGAGTAGGAGAATGGGAAGAAAATGAACCACCTTCAGCCCTTTAAATGAACATCTACCCTGCAGGCTTATGAATGGGAGGTGGAAGGCCCATGAAAGAAGCACCTTTCTATAATGTAATTCAGCTTTCCTAGAATGACACCCTTCCTGCACACCTCCAAACCCTGACAAGCCTTTAAGCCAAACTCAGAAATAACCTACTTCACAAAGCCTCCCCACGAACTCTGTCAGTGAGTTTGTCCTCCCTTTAACTGTTCTCCCCCTTTAACTATACTTAGCAATTTCTCCTTTTTTATTGTTTGATTTTTTCACTAGCATTTTCTGCCAGATGTTAGAGCTAACTGTACATCTATCTTAGTCCTCATATCAAACTAAGCTCCTTAGAGCCAGGCTCTGTGGAAGAAGGGTTCATTCTGAATCCCTCAAAATATCTAGTTCAGTGTCATACAGCAAAGGTTCTCAGAACAAAAATGTCAAATTAATTAATTAATGGTATAGCCAGGAGGGATTGATTTAACTATTTCACAATGGAGACAATATGTTTTATATAAAGTTAAAGATATTGACTATATTTGGGGACAGAATGCGTGCAGAATATTTACTTTGAATGAACATTTGTGGAACCATTGATGCTAGCATACCTTGTACACAGAAACAATGTAAGAAAGGGGGGGCTCGGCGCCTATAGCTCAACCGGCTAAGGCGCCAGCCACGTACACCTAAGGTGGCGGGTTCGAATCCCCAGCCCG